TCGTACCAATTACGATGGCGCCGAAGTGATGAGCTTTTCTGATTAACACAGATGAACAGAGGAGAGGAATGTTGCACAGACTTGAAGATATTGATAAAATTGCCAAAATGCCAGTAAGAGTTCAAGTAATGACCTTTGGTTGTTCAAGACCGGGCCGGTTTCGGGTCCTGTGAGCAAGACAACACAAAGCCAGACTGAACTAATTGTGAACGATGTGATATCGAAACCAAATTTATATGATGAAAACCCAGATCTGGGTTTGAGAGAGAAGAAGAAGAAGGCTGACAGCAGTAGTAGCAAAAGGTTTGGCCTGAACAATGACAAGATTGAACAAGGCACTGTCACCTAGAGGAACGAAGAAGTGATCGAGCGTCCACTCCAGATCTAGGTTTGTAGAAGAAAGGGAAAGGAAAGGTGAAGGAGACAGAGTGAAAGGGGAAGAAGAAAAATTTTTTTTTTCTGACGTGGATGCAAAAAAAATTATTATTATTGTTAAATTAAATAAAAATGCCAATTCATACAAAAAATAGTTAATTATGTTTTTTTTCCAATGTCATTGATTAAGAAAAAAAAAGAATTGATTTGTTGGCATTTTAACGTGTCACCCGTTATTTAACTGACGGAATGACCATTTTGGTATAAAAAATGAAAGTTTAAGGATAATTTTGATATTTTTTAAAGATAAAAGATAATTTTGATACTAAAGTAAAAAGTTGAGGGATCAAAATGATACTTAAACCTTTAATTAATTAAGAATTCAACTCCCGCCAACCCTTTGAAAATAACCTCTTTCCCCAATGATTCTCCGTGTAAAAAAAAAAAAAAAAATCGTTGGGCTTTAATATTTATTTTTTTGGCCATCTTACGTTGAGTTCATAACTTCATATTACGTGCTTTTATGAGAGGAAGAAACACATGTAGAGCGGAAAGCAAATTGCTGAAGAGTTGACGATGCAGATAAACATATTTGATGAATAACAATTGATTGGCAAATACCCATTTTTAATTTTTTATCTTAATAAATTTATAAATTTTAATTAATTAATTACCTTATATTATAATATTTTTAACTATTCACTTGTATGAATTAAAGAAAATAATTTTTAGTTAACATCAAGTTATAACGTTTTATTAATTCTATTAGTTAATTATTAATTCTATTAATTGACTATTAACATTTTATTAACGGAACTAACAAATAAAATTAAATTTAAATTTCATATTTTTTATAACGAAATGCTAACAGTCAGTTAATATAATTAACAGTTAGCTAATAAAACATTAAATAAGAGTTATTTTTTTTAATTTATATAGATAAAAGATTAAAAGTGTTATAGTATAAGATGATAGGTTAAACCTACAAATTTATTAAGGCAAAAGGCTAAAAGTAGGTTTTTGTCCCATTGATTAAGGAAAAGCATGCTTTAATTCTTTGCTTTTGAAGTTTTTAACTCTTCATTTTATATTATAAAGTTTTTAACTCCTAAATTTAAAAATATAAAGATTTTAATCCCTAAATCAATGCAATATGTTAACTTGTTGTTAAAGTGATAATAAAAAATTTACAAAATCAGTTCTTAAAAATTAAAAAGATTAGAATTTAGTTTCAAAAAATTTAAAATTAAAAGAATTAATAAACCAAAAAGAATTAATAGGTAACTTTATCACATACATGAAAATAGTATTAGATATCTATAATTAAATTGAGCAATTATCACAATTTTTAGAAAGAATTTTGACTAAGTTTTTTAATTTTTAATTTTTCAAGATTAAATTGTCACTTTTTTAATTTTTAAGGACTGACTCAATAAATTTTTTATGTTCACTTTAATGGAAACTTAACAAATTTCATTGGCTGAAGGCAAAAATTTTCCAACTTTTTAAGTTAAAAGGGTTAAAATCTCTATAATATAATGTAATAGAATAAAAACTTTAAATTTAATAAGATAAAAGATTAAATACATATTATGGCTTAATTGATTAACACTCACAATCTTCTCGAGCTCTCCATATCAACCCAGATTATTTGGACTATATACCACCATCAGTTCTCAATTAATTATTATCAATAATTCATCTAACACAGACAGTCCACCTACTATTAATTCTTATCTTATCTTATCTTATTACAATTAACAACATTTTTTTTAGGTGTTTCAATAATTAAAATTTTAATTTTTTGTGATAAAAAGCTCAAACTTCAATCTGAAATAAATAAAAAAAATTAAAATAAAAACAATTATTTTTTATTTTATAACTTATTATTTGAGATATGAAAAAAAAGAAAAAAGAAAAAAGAAAAAAAAGGGACACCCCAACATATAGCTTATGGATACATCTACCATTCTACTAAACTAGGCGAAACCGCACGCGGTAGCTGGGGTAGGAAGGAAAGGAAGGGAGAGGATGGTTTGCATAATCGTCCCCTTGATACGTACACAAATATAAGGTAGCATAGAGTTTGATTAACTACAAATCAAACCCAGAAATGGTTATTAGACTCCATAGCAAGTGGATAATATGCGGAGCAAACTGAGTTTAAGACGTAACAAGAACAGATACTCTTCAGTTCTCTGGAGCAAGTTCTCGACACCCCCTATTCCATGGCCGCAGCCAGGAATCAGTCTCTGAAGCTGCCGAAGCTTCCTCTCTATTGGCAGTCTTCCACCCCTGATCTCCAGCTGGTTCTTCCTTCTCCTCCTTCCCGACGAAATCCTTCCACACATTCTTGTTTGGAAAGAACACTTCGATCTCATTCTTAGAAGCTTTCATACACTCAGAGAATGTGTGTGATGCTCAAGGGGGTATGTGTGTATTTATAATGGAACAACATGAAGGGATATCATAGAGATTATGAAGGCAAAAAGTCCTGTTTAAATTATTTGTGTCCACACGTGTCAATGAGACCGTCAAAGAATGAAATTCAATAGACAAAAGTGTGTGCATGATAATGAGCTTGTAAACTTACAATCTTATACGATATTGTAAATATATCATTGCCACACATTAAATGATATCTTAACTGAAACAACCCCTCCATAAAACAGACTATTTTCTTCCAGTCTGATTGTGAATCCAAGATAAATTTAGAAGGAAAGATGTCGGCTGCAGATATAAATCAAAGCAAAGTATGAGTTAAAATCTCTCAATTATCGCTAACAATGTAATGGTACAGACAGGGACCTATGACCTGATGCTATAATCACGTCCGAAAACCAACCCATTCAATTATTTAAGATAGAGAACCAACTGGGACTCCTCAAGTACTAGTTGATTTGGTCAGTGTCAAGTTGCTACCAACCGTGCATGCCTTCTTTTCTACATGAAACACAGCCTACCGGAATAAAGACTGAAATTAATTTCAACAAACGAGCATTCGTGCTTGTGTGATCTATTGACACATCGTTCTCTTCATTTAATGCCATACACGAGCAAGTCTCTGTTGCTATTCGTCTTCCTAGACTCTTAGCTTTGAAGGTGTATGTTTCTAATTATTTGAGACTTTGAAATTCAAAAGAGACATAGGAAAGGCATAATGTATAACATAATTACTTCATGACTAAACAAAGGCGTGACTATCACCACCAAGAAAAAAATTACTTTATGACTAATTGAAGGCATTCTCTCTACAAAATGTAGTCTTTTTTCTACATGGGGAGGCACAATGTATAGCATAGACCATTGTAACATTGTCTGCCTCACTAATGCAATTTCAACGACGTAAAGTCTATGAAAGATAAATTAAGTGCCATGACAATACGGCAACATGATGCTGATACAGCATCCAATGATAAAAAACATAAAAGAAAAACACAAACGGTTGTTAAAACCTCATTCATCAATTGATAGATCCATGATTTCATCTTTATTGAATATTCATACATACATGCATGTTTGCAACCAATCCCGGTTCAATATTGTAGTCTGTTTTTTCCTATACTCACAAGCTACCTTATTCCTGGTTTCAACTTTATTGTCAAGACATCAATTCAGATAACCAACTATAGATACCTCTCATAAGAATAATTGACACCACACTCTCCCATTTCCAATCAGAATTGACTGCATACAACGGACTAATAATAGCATTGATCTGACAATACATGCTGGTATTGGAAGAAGAGGACCAAGATCTAGGTGCCTACATCCCCACGACACAAACCATTTGTGACCAAATAAAGTGTATATGATCCAATTCAAATAATCTAACCTCTACAATCTTAAGATATGAGGGTGATTTCATAAATCAAAAGAGATATTGTATGTCAGGTCAGGTATCAGGTGCAGTACGGTTATCAATAATGTCATGGCAACAATAATGCATGAACAACTAGTAGCACTTTAGTCTAAATTTTTCGAAAACAAGTAGCATACCATTTGGAACCAATGAGTAACCTCTCATGCTTTAAGCAAGTAACACTGTTCAGATGTAATCTTCTAAGCGTGTGACAGAAATTCTGTCCAAAGTAAAAAAGGGAGCAAATTGATAGCTTTAAAAAAAAGGAGGGGGGGGGGGTCTTTTGGTCCATTTGCAAACAAAATCAAAGAAAAAATGACTTCTAGCATGTCCACTATACATCAGGTAGTTTGGGTTCAGTTAACTCGAGCTAAGCTCTTGAGTTTTTGGTGTCAGATTAGTTAAACATACAGATCAAGACCACATTTAAATCCTCAAGAACTCATTTCTTCTAACTGAAAGAAAGTGTGTAACAGGTAAATATTGTGTATAGTAGCTTCACTCAATAGTGAGCTTCCCTAATATATATATCCTGAATCCATCATCTTTCCCTGCAAATGATAAGCAATAGCTGGTCTCAAACAATTTTCAAGCTTCTGAAAACTGCCGCAGAAAAAGAAACAATTTAATAACCCAACATCACTTAAACCTTTAAATTCTTGAAAGAAAATTATGCATGCCTAATTAGTTATGGAAAAAGAAAATTTTCAATGTTGGCCTCCACGACCTGTTTTCTATTTCATCTGTTAGCACGTCCGTCCGTCAATCCCAAAGTAAGTGAGCATCTGTATTCTCCTAATTCTCTAGAAAAAAATAATGGCATGGTTATTAATAGAATTTGTTAGAAACCATCATCAGCATTGGCATACAACCACATGATGCTCTTCTCTAGGATATCATTTCACAATGTAGACTGCAAATACGAATATCCATATTCAAGAAATGAAACAATAGACATTTCATCTGTAAAGACGTGACCTGACTGAGACTGACGAGGAACGACGGTTTTGGTAAACCATGTGCTTCACTGTTCCTCCACGCCCTGAAGTTTGGTTGCTAGGGAGTGCTCATTCCTTGGAAACTGTCCTTAAAGGGCTGATCCTCAGCTTAAATTTTCTGACTATAGTAGTTGAATTTCCTCTGTAGTCAATTTCCTTTTTGAGATATCCATAGTAACCCTTCTGATGTATTGTAATTTACCTGTGATTAAAAAAGAAATAATACTCGTAATCCGAAAATAATACAATTTAAGCAATTGAGAATTACTCTAGGCCAACACAAACAAAGGTTACTCAGGAGTCATGACAATATCCTAAACACTGCTCCAAACAGAGGAATGACACAAATGATCAACTATAATCAAACATGTGTACATGCTTGGTTGGAGGAATGACTCGCTCTTGGTCAAACCATAAAAATAAGGCAAAATCAAGAAGTTTGATTGGCAAACTAGGAAGAGTGAGGGAATAAGGTTTAATTATTTTCTTCTAAATTAGAGAACACTGAAGGATTAGCTCTCGCTATTACTACCTCCCCTAAAAATGACTGTTCCTTACAAATCTGAAAGAAAGTGACCAACCTTATTCCCTCTGTTCCTATCTTGTCAAAACTATATTCCTTCTTGCAACCCAAACTGTATTTAACCACCATAAAATTGCTGCCACACGTTCAAATGGCCTAGAATAATCTACAACCATTAAAATGGTCAGAGATATTTTCAGGTTCCGAATAAAATCTTCTTAAGCATGGATGCGACTGGGGCACATGCAGCTTTGAAATAGTCATCCTACATCTTCATCTTCCTACGATATCCATCAGGTCTAGGATAATAGAGTCCTCATGACAAAAAAATTTAGTCAAAAATCTAGGGCCCGACCTAAATTTCCCAAATCTACTTTATATTTTCATTATTTGGGATTTTGAAATTCCAACTACTCAAGAAGTCACAAGTGGGATATATGGTACTTACTATTTACAAACACATTTTTGTTTCATCCAATTGGTGCCATGATATACAGAATTATTCACAGACAAAATAACCCTCAAAACTCTCTCTGATGACCTAATTCCTAAGAGCCATTTTTTACAAGAACCCAATCCTAAACAAAGACACCAAATTGTACCTGAAGTAGCAGGAGCACGGATGGGTCGACGAGAACCAAGGATGCATACATGTAATTATCAGATTTCAGATACTCAACCATCCCTGCTAACTTCTTCTTTCTTCTGGTAATGGGTTCTTATATTTTCAATCCTGAAAACCTGAATAGAATTTGTTGAAATATATTTCCAAGCAAATGTGAAGAATAAAGATCCCACGCTAAATAAATATGAAAAGAAAAAGTAATTTAAATAAATTAAGACCCCAACAAGTGATATTAAAGCCAATGAGGTAATACAGCTGATATCTATACCTATAAATGATGCCCATCTATGTATGTCAAAGAAAAAAAATGTAACTCTCACTTTTTATGTCATGTAAACACTTGTAAAGTGTTGAAATATATTTTCCTTTCTCTTGTGAGTATAAAGAACAAAAATTCTTCACAATTCACAAAGTGTTAAAGTATATTTCTTTCTTTTTTTTTTATGAATATAAAGAATAAAAATTTCACATCAAATAAATATAAAAAAAAAAAGTGATTTAAATATATGGAATACCTATGTAACCACTCAATGTCTTCCCAATGGATCAGATGAATTCCCAATAGAATTTCATTGAAGCAAATCGAGAAAGCCCATAAACCAAAATCATCCAAAATTCCACCGGAGAAGTAATTATTACCTGTTGTAGAAGGACTAAACTTCAGTGCACGAAAATCAGGACCTGAAGGGGAGATTAGAGGAGCAAACAAGTATGAATCGGCTTTGAGATAATCCACTACGTTCTTGATGAATCTATGCTAGTTTTTCTTGGCGCACTTCTTGTTCTTTTGAATTCCTAATAACGTTCTCTTCATTTTCTTCTCCATTGATGAAGAGAAAGTGGAAACGGTGGCGACATGCATTCGGCCTCAGGAAGAAAAGCCTTTTTGCTGGCAGTGGTTGAAATTGTTATCCAGCTGTCTATGGATAAAGCCAACGTGTCATCTAGTTTTTGTTTCCTTTTGACACGTCGCAAGACTAGCCAATGCTTGCCACGTCAGCAGATGATGGATGAAGGATTGTACAGATGGAGGGTGCCAGTTGGCACGCTCACGCAGACAGGCTAAAGCCCAAATCTAAGTTTCTTATTAAACCAATGGGCCAGATTTTGTACAATAAATAGCCCATTTTGTTGTCCAGCCGAGGCCCCTGAACTAGCTTAATAGAAAGGTGGTTTATGATAAAAAATTGAAAGGACTGTTAAATGATGCAATATCATCAAAAACACTTCCATTTCAAAATAGTTAATTATAATAGTAGATTATGATTATAAGATTATAATAGTACTTGGTATTATAATATATTATTTTTATTTTTTATAAAAAAATTTTATAATAAATTGTGTTTTCATAAATTTAAAATTTAGTTAGAGAGAAATTTAAAAAT